ATAAATAAAATATTAATACTAAGAATCACAAAATAAATTTCCTAAGATCCTAAGATTTCTATTCCTAAAGCAGTAGACCTTCCCGTTTTACTGAATGTGACAGATGGGAAGACATCCACTGTTATGTTTTCTAATGACTTTTTCCTAAGTCATATTTCTAACCTCAACTTTAATTGAGGAATCTTGGCTTGATACGAAATAAATCAGAACAAAAACAAGCACTTTACAAAATCTTTATTACAAATTTTACACCTTTGGAACATTTATAATTGTTTAAAACTATTTTCAAGATCTGTGTTGACAAATCTGATTATTTTGCGTGTTGCATTTACATTTCAACATGAAAAATGCAAAATTTTATTAATAAAAGTGTTCTGTACAAGTGCATAAAACTCCATGAAACATCTCTGCTACAAAGTGATTATTGTTCCAAATTAAATTTTGGAGCAAATACAGAACTGCTTTGAATTTATATCTTGAAAGTATTTTCATAACGTGAGTTGAGTTGAATTTAAGTGAGTCACATCACTGTCTTCACAGAGAAATAGATAAAAAGAGATAGGTTAACTTTAATTGATATTCAGGACTTAGAGATGTTCAAATGATGTGTGAGCATGTGCATGCCTTCAAGTTGGCTGTCCATTTATGGCAACCCAATAATTTCATAAGGTTTTCTAAGGCAATGAATACTCAGAGGTGGTTTTGCCAGTTTCTTCCTCTGAAATATAGCCTACAGCACCAAAACTTTGAAAAGTTTCAATTAGCAAGGCTTCTAATCCTGCTACTGGCAGGAGTTAGATGTCCCCCAGCTCTGTGCTGTATGTTGAAATAAGATCTGAGAGCTGCATGGGGTAAGCCTATTTGTGGGGATGATACATGAAGAATAAGACCATAAGAAAAGTCATGTTGGATCAGATCGATGTTCTCTCTAGTCCAACATTCTGTTCACGCAGTGGCCACCAGTCAGCATGCAGAGTTAGGCTGCCTTATACTGTCCTGTGCACTTACCAAATGGGGAATTGTTTCTGAAAAATCAGTTTTCTACTTTCTTTGAGAAAGGAAAACAAGGGACAATAATTTGTTCTTGCCCGCAAAAGCACATTTTATCACGACTGACATTTCTACCTGGTGATTCTAGACTTCATGATTGTTCTATCTGAATTTTTCTGGCTCAAACAATCTTCCTCCACTTTCAGTTTTGTCAGGAACCCAGCACTTGGATTAAACAGCTTTTACCTCACTCTTTAGGTCAAACTGCTAAACAGTAGGTAATATAATAAGCTTTAACTAGAGAGCTTGTAGACAATTAGGGACCAAAAGCATATTTTGGAATGATTTTTTTTTTTGCATGATACAAATCTTGTATGTAAGAACCAAACTCATCTCATGCTTAAATCCAGGTTGCTTTGGATTGAGTGTATTTTTCATTTACTCAATATGATGTATATTTTTCAAAATTATTTTTCCTGATTTTGGTACATTACGCCTTATCTCAAGAGATGTGATTTCCTGTTTGTATGCTGTCATTAATATAAATGTGCTGCATCTACAAATACCCTCGGTTCATAGAAACAGAGAAGCATAGGAAGCTGCCAAACACTGAGTCATAGAATTGGTCTATCCTGCCAACTGTTCTCAATTCTGGAAGCAGTTCAGAGTTTTCATTCAAGCATCTTTATCCCAGAGATCATTGCTATCCTTGGGTGGTCTGCCATCCATACACTAATCAGACCCAACCTTGCTTAGCTTCTGATTAATTTCAATGCATTCAGAGTGTCACGGTGTCACATTTGTGGTCATTACTAGTTAGACTTCCTGCCTTATGGAGCAAACAAACAACACTTTCACTGGTGACCAACATGGGTAGTGCTGATCAATATTAGTCTTGAAACAGCCTTTTAAAAAAACCATCAGATACTTCCCTTGATCAGGACACTCAATTTCTGTAGTTGTAACTTAGAAGTATTTTTCTGCCACTTTGCACTATTAATTTATTTGTAGTTTGTCGTATACACTTAGTTTTTTTCACCAAGTTAAAATTTACATTTTTAATTAAGTTTGTTTTTGCCCGATTTGTTTGTTTTGGTTCAGCCCAAAATTACCCGGAGGCTCTAAGCCTTTAACTACACTTCCTAGTTTGCTATCATCTGTATATTAGATGAGGTTGCCCTCTATCAATCCATCCAAATAATTTATAAAGCAATTGAACACCTTGGCTGGCATAAGTTTCAAGACAATTGGTCCAGTCAGCCAGATTCAATATTCTCTCCTTTTAAAAGATATGGCAACATTTGCCTTTCCCGTCTGCAGGGACCTCATTTGTTCTCCAAGAATTTGCAAAGGTTAAACAGAAACTCTGAGGTTACACCTGTAGGCTCCTTTCTTATAACTGGATAAAGATCATTTGGAGATACAAAATCATTTTAAGTGGTCGGATGTTCCCATACTACCTCTGTACTTATCTTAGGTTGCAACCCCTTCGCTGTATAATTTATTAAAGTCTCACCAAGACGAGAGCTGCTTTCCTTCTGAGAGAAAATGGGGACAAATTGGGTGTTGGGCCATCCAGCTTTCTGACACCCATTTAGCATGTTTCAATTTTCTTCACAGAGGGACTTACTAGTTCTTTGCTCTTACTCTTGCTTTGAAGACAGTTTTAACACACATTTTCACTATTTTAATCTCTCTGGAAAACTTAAGCCCATCCTAAGATTTAGCTGTACCAACCTTTTCTACAAACACTAGCTCCTCATGTGGACTCTTAACTGTTGATCTCTGCCTCTTTCCATCTTTACATTTGTCCTTTTAAATCTCAGCTCATCTGAAACCTCCTCATGTAATCACCCTGGTTTTCCACTGAAACTTATACCTTTAATAAATGTCAATCTATTATGAGTTTTCCTCTCTTTCAGTATATCAAGCATACGTCTTAATTCAGTATATTATTTTTGTGTCTCCCTGTTGTCTTGTGTCTCCAAGACTGTAAAAGCCAGACACCTGAAACTTGTAAGGGATAGATACTATGAAGCTCTTGAAAAGGGACAGAGATAGCCTGGGAGATAGTTTTCTTCTTCTCTTTCTTGACTGGTTGCACTGGGAGTGATATGTTATTTTGTGTAAGAGAGATGAGGGAGATGGGATGGATGGAAGAAACATTCTCTTTCAAAGTCATTTTGTCTCTCAGATCGATATCTATCCTTGATCTACTAAACCAGTGGTTCCCAACCTTTGGTCCTCCGGGTTTTTGGACTTCAGCTTCCACAATTTCTAACAGCTGAAAAGCTGTCTGAGATTTCTGGTAGTTGAAGTTCAAAACAACTGGAGAACCAAATGTTGAGAAGCAAACAAACTAGAATGATAGGGAAGACATAAACTCTTACACCAGTGGTTCTTAACCTGTGGGTCTCTAGATGTTTTGGCCTTCAACTCCCAGAAATTCTAACAGCTGATAAACTGGCTTGGATTTCTGGGAGTTGTAGGCCAAAACACCTGTGAACTCACAGGTTGAGAACCACTGTCTTACACAAATCGAAGGATAGATTATTCCGTAGGAACTGAAATGGTATTTATTACAAGGAAGAGAGCAGGCATTTTCTCTGTTTCCTATATGAGGATTTCCTGTGGGTGATTTACGCATTCGTCTTTGTGGTCATAATTTGTGGCCTGCTGTTTGGGAATTTCTTACAAATTTATAATTTAGTGATTTTATTGTTCTTTAGTTTGTATACTTTTCCCTTTTGCAAGTATTTCCTATACATACCAGTAGGTGGTAGTAATGGTGACTTCATTAAAAACAAAAACCTTCCACTAAAACAACCTCTGCATAATTGAAAATAAAAGATGAGTAAAGAAATTTGGATGTATGCAGAACACTTTAAGAAAAGATAGAACTTTATTCATTTTTTTCATATGATTAGTAGAAGTACAATTTCAAGACTCTCCCTCTCTTTCGCTCTCTCTATATATAAAATCTCAATGGTTCTCAACCTGTGGGTCCCCAGAAGTTTTGGCCTTCAACTCCCAGAAATTCTAACAGCTAGTAAACTAACTGCGGTTTCTGGGAGTTGTAGGTAAAAACACCTGGGATCCACAGGTTGAGAACCATTGATATATAGAGAGCCTTTCATCTGCTGCTGGGCCAAGGCAGTGGCGGTTGGGAGAGGGTCTTTCATTTTCCTACCACAACAGTATCTAGTCCATATGACAACATGACAGTTCAGACGAAAAAAACTGGGGAAACTTTTTGTTTCTTTTTTTACTCCAAAAATATTTTTTCCTCTAAAACTGAAAACTGGAAGAAAAAAAAAACAAAAAGAGTTTTTACAGTATTTCTTTCGGATTTTAAAAAGTTTAAGACAAAGTGTTCATATATTTAGTACCACAAAATTATTTCAAAAAATATATTACAGGAAGACTTTTAGATAAAACAATATCTAGTAGGCGATCGTTACAATTCCTGGTATACAATTCTTGGTATTTTCTTGTCAGTTCTTTTTTATGGGAACAAACGCTTTATGCCTTTGACCTTATGGAAGATTAGAGTAGGCAACATATTTTTGTTTCACTATTGTTGGTAGTTTCTTCTGTTTTCATTTCTTTTGCCTGCTCATTGTAAGCTGAATTTGTAACAAATTATTTAAACATTTTAAACAGGGAATTCAATTTCTAACCTGTACTTTTAAGTTACTAAACATTATAATTTTATAACAAACAAAATTGTACAATTGTTTCATATTACACATAGTACCTATTATGTGTTCTTAAAATAACAAAGTGATTTTCATCCCCTCCCCAAAGATTCAACACAAGCATGTTTTAGCACACCAAAGAAGTGCAATGTGAATTCTGACCGCTGTTTTGGTGTGGGTTTTGCCATTTTGAGGGAATGGATTTGGGGGTTCAGGAGACCTAGAGGAAGCAACCACCACAATTTCTGGTGGTTTGAGAATTTCTGGCTTCTACAGAGACAAATTAATCATTCATTTTACACATTGACCAAAAGTCAATAGATAGGCTATACCTGGGGATCCAAAGGGCTACATCCAGTTCTTAGGTTCTCACCCCATGCTGTAAAGGGTATCACATTCATTTTCATTTTTTTCCATACAAGAGGGAAGGGTAAGTATTTCCCACAACTTGAAACTTTATGGGAATTTTACACCTTTAACAGTACCATGGGCTTTTTAATGGATGTTGTATCTAAAATCCATTATATGCTAAGAATTTCTAGTTAGAAACATAGGAACCAAGAAACAACCAGAGTTAAGATGACACACAACCAAAAAGCAGGTTTGTTAGTTTTTAAACTTTATGGAATTACCATATTTTTTCTCACTGGAATTCCATTTTCCGAAATACTTAATTGTACATTCAGAAAAGTCATTTTGGTGGAAATTTAATTGCCTGATTTCTTGATTGATTGACTGATTGATTCTACATCCTTCTTTTCTCCCAGAGCAGAATCCAAGATGGCAATGTAAGATTGAGTATTCATGGAAGTAACATTGGTAATTTTTAAAAAGCATGATGTTCAAACTAAAGTTCATGTTGTAAGATTCCATCCAGAAGGCTTGACTGTAGATGTTGCTGGCGTATTTGGTGGCAGAGGAATGGAAAATTATTTTGCTTCTCAACATTGTTAAGTCCAATTTTCCACATTAAAGTAGAAGTTGCCTAAATATATTAGAGGCTTTTTTTAAAGACCGCAGATAGAGGTTCTATGCACCTCTGAGAACCATGTTCTGCATCACAGGTCATGTTATTTGCTCGATGGCTACAATCATGAAGGTGAGATTAAATTTTCTACATAGTAGCCTAAATATATTAGAGGCTTTTTTAAAGACCGCAAACAGAAGGATTATTCTATGCACCTCTGAGAACCATGTCTGCATCACAGGTCATGTTATTTGCTCTATGGCTACAATCATGAAGGTGAGATTAAATTGTCTACATCTTTGATGTATTTTGCAGTCATGAATTAAGGCGTTGTTCACTGTCACACATCGGTCCATGTATTAGCTGGTCCTTCATTTTAAAAAAAAGTTTTAAAAGTGCCTTTAGACTGAAGAATGTGAGAATTATGTTTCTAACACTGTACATTCCTTAGGCCGGGAAGAGTCACTTTTCCATAATTGTAAATGTCTTCATCTTTGCCTTTATTAAGGTGCTTGATGATATTTTTCTCAAAGAGGAGTGGGTGATAGGCACCCATAGTGCAAGCTTGGTCAAAGATCATCTGGTAATAATGACAGATGTTTGTTTGCCTTTTGGAAGGGAGATACTCATAAACATCCACTTCGTCACAGAAATTCATCATGAGAACAATACCTATGGATGAAAGAACAAGGGAGAAAGAGACAGACACACACACAGAGAGAGAGAGAGAGAGAGAGATTATAGATATTGCTTGATAATCAGATGCAAGAATAGAAAGCAAGATCTTACATTAAATTAGCATGTGATAAAGTTCCACCAGTGGACTTATTCAGAGGTTCAGAGATAGGGCCCTTCCACACAGCCCTATATACTAGAATATCAAGGCAAAAAATCCCACAATATCTGCTTTGAACTGGGTTATCTGAGCCCACATTCTATAATGTGGAATTTTCTGCCTTGATACTCTGGGATATAGGGCTGTGTGGAAAGGCCCATAGTTATTGAGGTCTAGAGCAGTGGTTCTCAACCTGGGGTCCCCAGATGTTTTTGGCCTACAACTCCCAGAAGTCCCATCCAGTTTACCAGCTGTTATAATTTCTGGGAGTTGAAGGCCAAAAACAGCTGGGGACCCCAGGTTGAGAACCACTGGTCTAGAGGAAAGACAAAAGCAAACCACAGAATGGTGGTGCAATGGAGGTTTCCTTGGTGCATTCCTGTGATTAATCCATGGCCACTGAGGCAGTGGGTGGCAGCTGATACGGCACTGCCTACCAAAACTGTTGTGTGAGGAATCATAGAATTATAAAGATGGAAGAGATGACAATGGCCACCCAGTCCAACTACCTCTCATGCAAGAATTTACACACTCAAAACACCCAGCCAATTTTTAAAAACCTCCAAAGTTGTGCTAGTAGTGTAATTCCTATTTCAGATAGCATAAAGTCATAAGAGGATTCCAGCCAAATAGTTGAAAATACCATGTGAAAAATCTGTGGAAAGGAATAGGGACAAGGATATGTTATTTTGCATCACAGGAATCTAAGAAGTATGAATATATGATGGCATTCTGCTTTGCATACTATATCTACTGAAGTAGGCTGAATTGCATAAAATACCATTTGTTAGTGTTGAAGATACCTGCCAAAAATTTTATTGCTTTTGGTTTGCATATTGATTCAGAAACTGTGGATCTGATGAATTCTTATGAGAATGCAAACCAAAAAGAAATGACTCTTTATTGCTAGAAAAACAATAAATGTATTGTTGAAGGCTTTCATGGCCGGAATCACTGGGTTGTTGAAGGTTTTTCGGGCTGTATGGTCATGTTCTATAAGCATTCTCTCCTGATGTTTCATCTGCATCTGTGGCAGGCATCCTCAGAGGTTGTGAGGTCTTCACAACCTCTGAGGATGCCTGCCACAGATGCAGGCGAAATGTCAGGAGAGAATGCTTATAGAACATGGCCATACAGCCCAAAAAACTTTCAACAACCCAAAACAATAAATGGTGAAGTCTCAATAATGCAGACAATGAGGAGATTTTCCTAATGTCTCTTCCTGATCCCCATCCCCCGAAACTTCTAATGACTGAGCCAAATGTTGTAATCAAGCTCTGCCTTTTGAAAGTTAAATTCACCTTTATTCAGGACCCAGGAATTTATATGGAAGCTTCCTGAACTACTGAGCCTGAAAGCACAGTAGGAATAATTAGTAGGGGCATTTTGGAAACTCCACATTCTGAGCTGCTTGCTATGGACCACTGAGTGGCTTCACTCTCAAAGCTAGTGATTAGCAAAACACAGTTCAAGAGGTGTTTAATTCATAGACATAGATCCACTTAATTTGGAGCTGCATATCAATTCCAATCTCTAACCCGGAAGTACTTATCTCCAAATTAAAAGGGTGGTAGTTTGTAACTGGCTACACAAAGCCATTTACTATAGCCAGAGATCATTTAATGCTATTCAAAGCTAGCTTGAAACTCGACAACAAATGCCCAAGAAAGCGCATCAAAGAAAGCCCTTAATGCACACTGGATTTCTGTGGTTGGTGTCAACGTGTTAAGCTGGTTCCTTGATTTCCTATGTAATCACCTGCACTTTCTTCAATACTGGTTTGTAACTGCATTAAATGTTCACTGTTGATGGGAACCGAGTTCCTTTCAACGTCTCTTTCAGTTCTAAGCCCTGGTTTACCCTTACATCCATTCTCACAGTCCATACGGCCTGCTGGGTGGAATTGTTCTGGGTGGAGTTGTAAGTCAAAAAAGAAAAATTTCTGGCACTGCTGTCCAGTTTGCATGTCAACAAGCGTGAAGACGCAGCAATGGGGCTGCCTCTTTACTGAGAAGCCGATTTAAGCTTGTCATTCACCTATTAGTTTATATTTATATCCTGCCTGTCTTTCAATAAACTTTAGGCCGAATACTGGTTCTTCTCTTCTGAACTTCATCCTCACAATAATCTTATGAGAAAAGTCAGGCTTAGAGACTAGTTCAAGGTCACCCAGTGAATTTCATGGTTCAGTGGAAAAAAACCCACAACTTGGTTCTCCCATTTCTTAGTCCATAATAGCTCTCGGTTAAGCTCAATTCACTTCTAATGGATTGTCAACATTGCATTACTGATGTCACATTATAAAAGAAAGCAACTGCAATCAAACAAAGCAAAACACTTTAAATCACTTGGGTTTATTATGCATAATCTCTGGAAAATATATTTGAATTTGGATAGAAGTAAGGGACTCAAGTGAATAGGATGACAAAGGGCACCATCAACCTGCTTCCACTTTATTATAAACGTGCAATTTTAGCGGAGAATCTACTACAAACAAACCCACACATTTTCCTTAGCTAAAGCAGTACTGCCCTCTAGAGGATGTTTCCCTTTGAACTAGCGAACTCTTCTAGACTGAAAATGAAATAATACTTGAAAATATTCAAGAAAAAGTGTGTATGTGTTTTTAAAAAAACCATGTTTCTCCAACTGTTGAGAATCTTGGACTGCTCAGAACCTGCAGTTTGGGAGTTATTCTGCCCCAAATTCTGCACATAGTTTTTTTTCTGCACAGAACAAGGAACATTTCTGGGCATGTATTTTTTTTTTCTGAAGAGAATGCTTCCCTGCACAGAAAATGCTACTTTTTCTGCAAAAAATAACATGTGAGAATTTTGTGTAAGATAACTCTTGAAATATGAGAAATCCCAGGAAGTTTTTGAAGAGTTCCTTGCAGGAAAAAGAGAATGGGGTAAGCAAAGAGGGGAAAATGAGAAGGTCTAGCCCCTCTGTTTTGCAAGGTGTCATCTTCCTTGATAGCATCAGTCGTCTCTGCATGCACATGAGCTCCCCTGCCTTGTCTGATTAGAACTAGGAAGAGTGTGGAAAATATATTTTTTTATATGGACTAGAATTCTCTGAATTTCCCTGCAAGTAATTTAAGGATCAGGCCTTCCAAATTTAGTTATTTATAGTATAGTGATCCTTTGTAAACTTTGGGATTAGGTATAGAAAAATGAGGCTTTACATGTTGGAAGACAAAGGAGAGATCTCAGGTAGGGTGACCAATGCCTCCAACTTGTTACGGGGCGAGAGGCAGAAATATGGAGCCACTAGCTATGCTGCTTGAACTGCAGGGTTCTAGAAACTGCAGTTCAAAAAAAGTATCTCTGAACTTTGGGGGTGGATCTACATTGTCCTATAACTCAGGATCTGATCTTAGATTTATCTGCTTTGAACTGGATTATATGAGTCTACACTGAGATAATATGGGATAAGCAGGAAATATTTGCACTCACTGAGCCTGAACTCAATTACGACCTTTATCTTAGCCATATTGTTTTATGATGCTGTTCATGAGTGTGTTATGCTTTATTATTTTTTGATTGATTTTTAACTGTGTCTCTATTTTTATCTGTAATTTTTAGGTGTGTTCCTCTGTAAGCCACCCCGTATCCCCTAGGGAAGATGGTGGTGGGATATAAACATAAAGTTGTTGTTGTTATTATTGTTGTTGTTATTATTATTATTATTATTATTATTATTATTATTTATAATAATTATCTGGGATCAGATCCTGGGATAAAGGGCAGTGTAGGTCCAGCCTGGATATGCTTCTGTAGAATCCTTTTTACTGGTTTCTGCTAACTTTGAATACATGGACATCAATGGTGTCCTTTCAAAAATGATCTGGGATATGCCTTGTTCTGTCAGCATCTGTTCTTTGTCACAGTACTAAATACAGATGAAGGCAGCATCAAGCCATTGTTTCAGATATCCTCCATGCTGTTTGACTAGTCCAAACAGTTATCCTTTTTCTTTTCACACTAATAATAATAATAATAATAATAATAATAATAATAATAATAATAAACAACTTTATTTTTACCCCACCACCATCTCCCCAAAGGGACTCAGGGCAGCTTACATGAAGCCAGGCCCAGCAGTTACAACAAAGCAAATATACAACAGAAAAATACAGCAATAAAATATAATAAAAATAAAACACAAAAAACAATACAAAGTAGACAATCACAATAATTGAACACAGTGGGCAGGTCCAGTTGCAAATGTTAAAAAGTTGAAAAACACTGGGTGAGATGAGCAATGTAGTGTATCTGGGAGGAGGACATGCTTGCATAATGTAGGGAAATCTGTTATGACCCATACATTCCTTGCTGGCAGTAAGGTCCCATTTGGAAGAAGACATGCCATGATTTACGTGTCCTTCAACTCAAGGAAATGAACAAAAACCCAACTTTAAACATGTGGGATTAAAAAGCAAACAGAACAGAAGTAGCCCTTGTACTATAGAATAAGAATAAATATCTGAGATGGGTAATTCCTTTTATTAGGACCAAAGGCACTGTGCAGCCTTATAACATCTTGTTGGTCTGAAATGTGGCACACGGCCACCCTCTCTCCCCTCATTCTGATATTTGTTTCTCTATTTTGATAGAATGTTACTATGCAAGGGCACCATCTTGTGGTGAGATATAAAGATAACACCAATTCAGGTGTGTTTATGGTACGGAAATCATACCTTCATTATTGCAATTGAGTTCTCTTTTGACTGCAAATGTTTACTTAGCTGCAAGTAAGTTTGCTTGCTTTAAATCACAACTACCACCATACATGCCTGAATATCACCACCACAGCTCCAAGACTGAGACCTGAACACCTGAAACTTTACCTACACACTAAAGGGACCCTGCATGTCTGCACTTCAAAGTTACTCCATTTCTTAGTATTCATATTTAGTATTCAATCAGTATTCATATTTAGGGTGAGTGAACTAGAGCAGCGGTTCTCAAAGTGTGCTCCGCAGAGCCCTAGTACTGCCTTCGTTCCTTTTCTCTCTTATTTCCCTCATGGTGGCATCTCTCCTCCTCCCCCACCTCCAACCTTTCATACTCTTTCCTGCGCCTACCCCTTTCACACCTCCCTTGCTTATTTCTCCTCAACCCCCTTACTACCAAAAGTCTTTCCCTGCCTCCCTTGCTGCCAAAAGCCTTTCCCCCCCTCACCTTCCTCGGTGTCCAGATGCTTTCCCCTTTGCTTTCCTTGCTTCCAAAGCCCTATTTCCTCCCACCGCTAAGAAGGTGTTTTGATTGTGTTTTTCCTACATATCAGAAGGAGGTTGGACTAGATGGCCCATGGTGTTTCTGCTATTATTATTATTATTATTATTATTGACACAAAAGCACAGTATGTCACAGCAAACGAGATCTATATGCTGGATTTCATATCACAAAATCACAAGTCGAACACTTCCCAAGCGTCTAGGACTGTGTGATGTATTTTCAAATGATGTGCGCAGATCCAAGTAAGGTGGCCTTTTGCAGTTGACAGATTGTGATTTTGTCAATGTTTATTGTTTCCAAATGCCGGCTGAGATCTTTTGGCACGGCACCCAGTGCGCCAATGACCACTGGGACCAACTTGTACTGGTTTATGCCAGAGCCTTTGCAGTTCGATTTTGAGGTCTTGATAGTGGCTGAGTTTTTCTGTTGTTTTTCCTCAATGCGACTGTCACCTGGTATGGCGACATCAATAATCCAGACTTTTTTCTTTTCCACAATTGTGATGTCTGGTGTATTGTGTTCCAAGACTTTGTCAGTCTGGATTCGAAAGTCCCACAGTATTTTTGCGTGTTCATTTTCTACTACCTTTGCAGGTTTATGATCCCACCACTATTGGCAGGTGGTACTTGATTTATTATTATTATTATTATTATTATTATTATTATTATTATTATTATTATTAAGGGTGGGTGGCCATCTGTTGGGGGTGCTTTGATTGTGTTTTCCTGCATGGCAGAAGTGAGTTGGACTGGATGGCTCCTGTGGTTACTCTGATTACTATTATTATTACAAAGGGTGGGTAGCCATCTGTTGGGGGTGCCATGTATAAATATGTGAGAGGAAGCCACAGGGAGAAGGGAGCAAGCTTGTTTTCTGCTTCCTTGGAGACTAGGACACGGAACAATGGCTTCAAACTACAAGAGAGGAGATTCCATCTGAACATTAGGAAGAACTTCCTGACTGTGAGAGCCGTTCAGCAGTGGAACTCTCTGCCCCAGAGTGTGGTGGAGGCTCCTTCTTTGGAAGCTTTTAAGCAGAGGCTGGATGGCCATTTGTCAGGGGTGATTTGAATGCAATTCCTGCTTCTTGGCAGGGGGTTGGACTGGATGGCCCATGAGGTCTCTTCCAACTCTTTGATTCTATGATTCTATGATTCTGTCTTCGCATGGCAGAAGGAGATGGACTAAAATTGTTCTTCATTTTAAATATTGTATTGTTCTTTCTTTTTGCACTGTGTGAATTACATAGTTCACACAAGCACCCTTCATCCACATGCCACTGACCCAGCCCATGTCTGATATATATACATTATATAAAATATAGGGTAATATATTAACATATCTTGGGGCTTCTGCTTCAAAAAGGGCTCCATGGCTGAAATAGTTTGAGAACCCCTGAATTAGGGAAAAGTTCAACCATCGTATTGTGCTGCTGGAATCAACAATGACATTCGGCTGCGAGTGCCAAATTTACCATGGATCTCGATAACAAATGTAGAATCTCTCTGTGATGCAGAAGGGAACCATATAGTCTTGAGCAGTCACAGGGTATATAATCTACTCTCTTTTCCAGAGCAATAAAAATAGAAAAGTGGGGGGAGGGGGGCAGATATCACTATTTTAGTGTCCTGGGGGCAGTCACCAATTTTCAAAAACAGGAAAATTTGAGGAGCTGAAAAACTGTGCTCTTCAATCCATTTTAAATATATTTCCATCTTTAGCTCCCTTGACTTCTATTACCACTTGGCTGCTGATGACAACCTATTAGCTCACAGGCTATTGTAAGGCAGTTGTGTGCCTGACTCATCTTAATTTACAAAATTAGATAGTTCTGTGTACCTAGAAAAGTGCAATAGGAGCAAATCTCTCTCTCTCTCTCTCTCTCACACACACACACAGGGGGTTTCCATATACAAACTAACAAACACTCAACTGTGAGATTTTGCTCATGTAAGGGGGAGGGGGTCCCTAATTAGATCCTAAGTACAAATCCAGAAGAACAAAGAGAAGGAATTATGGATCTGTTCTGCAGTGAACTTACCAAGCATTCCTGAAGATGGTGGATTTGGCTGAATATCTTCTGGGGAGTTTTCTTGAATGATATCCCAGAGCTGCCACTGAAGGTGCGGATTCAGGATATAAAAGGGTTGTTTTGGATACTTTTTCCGATAGTTCTTGAAGCTTCCATAAAAATTGTAGTCTGGCTTTTTATACCACTGAAACCAAAAATTGAAAGAATCGCATATCTTATCTAAATAGTGGCCACATACAGAAATATTCTCCAGAAAGTTTCATCTTCTCACCTAACTTACCTCTTCAATGCTTGAGTGGTAAGGTGCTGGATCCCATAAAATTAAGGTTCCCAAGTTATACTGTGGGTCTGTAAGAAACCTTTTTTCTTCAACAGTAATAAGCTGGAAATGATTAAAGAGGTGGTGATTAAATGCATTCTGCTCCATTAGAAAACTATGAAAAGCATGGCTTTATAATTTACATCTGTTATAACTGTTATAACTTGTCAAAGGACAAGAGGGATCCTCCCACCTCTGCAGGAGTCTACCATATACCATGCAGCTGTGGACAAGTCTACATAGGGACCACCAAATGCACCGTTGCCCAAACACGAATCAAGGAACATGAAAGGCACTGCAGACTACTTCAACCAGAGAAGTCAGCCATAGCAGAGCACCTGATGAACCAACCTGGACACAGCATATTATTTGAGAACACAGAAATGCTGGACCACTCTAACAACCGCAATGTCAGACTACACAAAGAAATTCACAGCATGTGGACAATTTCAACAGAAAGGAAGGAACAATGAAAATGAACAAAATCTGGCTACCAGTATTAAAACATTCTAAAATTATAACAGTACATTTTAAAAAAACAACAAACATAGGGGAACTCCAGACAAGAAACAATCAGGGACAGCTAATCATCTCTCAACAAAGGATTCCCCCATTCAGTAACAAGCCACACCTAAAAACTATCATGCCATCAAATGCTAATCAAGGTGGCAAATTGAAACATTCACACATACCTCCAACAGACAAGAGTTCTTTCTCCCGACCTGGACATTCCCAGATATATAAACTCCATTTTCCTAGTTCCCAACAGACCTCACAACCTCTGAAGATGCCTGCCATAGATGCAGGCAAAATGTCGGGAGAGAATACTTCTATAACATGGCCATACAGCCCGAAAAACCTACAACAACCCTGTTAGGATAGCTTAAAATACATACAACAGAATACATATATCAAAACATGTGTGTTTTGGAGTAGGAGAGATGCATAGCTATATCTCCTCTCCTCATTTTAAGTTCACATGCATTTGCCTGTAGCACTAGGAAGTATTCACATAGGGATGTCTGCAGGTGACAGAGGATAGGAAGTGATAGAAAGATAATGCACAAATATAAAGACAGGGTTAACTTCTACTCCCAGACAGACAGGCAGACCAACATCCTGTACAGGTATTATGAAACTAGTGGAAATAACTGCATAGGAGAGGAGTGCAGACTATAGCCTTCCATCATTAATCTCTTCCTGAAGAGGGCAGCCTTCTGAATGAAGCTTTGAAACAGCACTTGTACTCTGTATTGAAAAGCTCTTCCCATATACACTTTTTGAAATGGCAAGGTGTTTTCTCCAGAGTGTCTGGCATTTACAGTGGATGACATAAATATGAAAGCTGATGTTACAAAGAGTAAATGAAAGAAAACAGACCTTTTGGGGTCTACATAAAAGCTAAAGGATTCCCCTGACATTAAGTCTAGTCGTGCCCAACTTTGTGGTGTGGTGCTCATCTCCATTTCTAAAACGAAGAGCTGACGTTGCCTGTCATGACTGCATGGAGCGCCATTACCTTCCCACTGAAGCAGCAGCTATTGATCTACACACATTTGCATGTTTTCAAACTGCTAGGTTGGCAGAAGCTGGGGATATCAATGTGAGTTTACCCTGCTCCTCGGACACGAACCACTGACCTTTAATTAAGTAAGTTCAGCAGCTCAATGCTTTAAACTTCTGACCCCAAGACTCTGGGGTCTACATAGTTGTGGCATATTTTTATGGCTTAGTTTATGTAGTTTGAAAATACCTTGCTCCATTTTACTACCAGTAACAGTTGTGTTAGAGCCCCCAGTGGCGCAGTGGGTTAAACCCCTGTGCCGGCACAACTGAAGACCGACAGGTTGCAGGTTCGGATCTGGGGAGGGCACGGATGAGCTCCCTCTATCAGCTCCAGTTCCTTATTTGGGGACATGAGAGAAGCCTCCCACAAGGATGGTAAAATATCAAAACATCTGGGCGTCCTCTGGGCAATGCCCTTGCAGACAGCCAATTCTCTCACACCTGAGCGATTAGCAGTTTCTCAAGTCACTCCCAACATGACAAAAAACCCAAAACAAAACAAAAAAAACCCCCTGTGTTTGCATTTATGCCACCCAGTACAAAAATTAAAAACTCTTTAGTTTAGTAATACTGTGGACTTTTCTGGCTGAGCAATTTAAAGGCCCCTCCCCTAAATTTTTGTGTATGTGTCAGAAGCGACTTGAGAAACTGCAAGTGGCTTCTGGTGTGAGAGAATTGTCTGTCTGCAAGGATGTTGCCCAGGGGACGCCCCCGATGATTGATGTTTTACCATCCTTGTGGGAGGCTTGTCTCATGTCCCCACATGAGAAGCTAGAGCTCGACAGATGGGAGCTCACGCCGCTCCCCAGATTCGAACCGCCAACCTGTCGGTCAATCAGTCCTGCCGATACAAGGGTTTAACCCATTGCCACAGGGGACGCCTCCCTAAATTATACGCCCCAGATTCTGCAGGATGCAGCCACAGGATTTCACATGGGATGCATACCCTTTGCCTACTCTTTAAATTGTGTGGTGTGGGAAAAAAAACAACTAGCCCTCTGAGGGTCCTTCCACACAGCCATATAACCCAGAATATCAAGGCAGTTAATCCACAAGATCTGCTTTGAACTGGGTTATCTAAATTCACACCGTCATATAATCCACTTCAAAGCAGATAATGTGGGATTGTATACATCTGTGGGGAAGGGGCCTTAGAAAGCATAAAGGAGAATATCTTTGCAATATAAGGAGCAGCAGAACAGGCATCCCTTTAGTGGGTCATGCTGTGGAACAAAATCATTTTGCAGCTGACCTCAAATTCTATGTTAGAGAAAATAAATACTGTACCAATTTCAAGAACACACTGAAAAGAGCTTTTTTAAAAAAAAATAAAATAAATCAGCTCTTATAAGTCGTAATGGAGAAATAGAATTTCTTCCATTCATACTAAATAACTGAGAGTTTTCAGATATTATCTTCAATCCAGTCATGTCCACAGTGTCCTTGAACTTCAATCTGTGTGTTCCAACTTCTACTCATGAAGTAAAGTATCAATCTTGCATTTATGTCAGTAAATGATACCAGAATTAGGTTCTTGTAGGTTTTTTCGGGCTATAGGGCCATGTTCTAGAGGCATTTCCCCTGACGTTTCGCCTGCATCTATGGCAAGCATCCTCAGAGGTAGTGAGGTCTGTTGGAAATAGGAAAATGGGTTTATATATCTGTAGAATGACTGGGGTGGGGCAAAGAGCTCTCTGCTGAAGCTAGGTGTGAATTTTTCAGCTTCATTAGCATTTGAAGGCTTGGCTGAGCCTGGGAAAATGTTCTGTTGAGAGGTGTTAAGATGTGCCTGGTTGTTTCCTCTCTGTTGTTTTGCTGTTGTAATTTTAGAGTTTTTTAATACTGGTAGCCAGATTTTGTTCATTTTCATGGTTCCTCCTTTCAGTTGAAATTGTCCACATGCTTGTGTATTTCAGCGGCTTCTCTGTGTAGTCTGACATGGTGGTTGTTGGTGTGGTCCAGCATTTCTGTGTTCTCAAATAATATGCTGTGTCCAGGCTGGTTCATCAGGAGACTTCAACACCCACAATTTAAAGTCCAAAACACCTGGAGGGCCAAAGTTTGCCCATGCTTGTCTTAAAAAATCTACAGGCCAAAACATAGTATACTTGTTTCCTATTTAATGTCACCTTTCACATGTGTCTCCCTTATTTCATATCTGCAGATTTTTTGTGTGTGTCAGTAGCGACTTGAGAAACTGCAAGTTACTTCTGGTGTGAGAGAATTGGCTGTCTGCAAGGACGTTGCCCAGGGGACCCCAGATGTTTTGATGTTTTACCATCCTTGTGGGAGGCCTCTCTCGTGTTCCCGCATGGGGAGCTGGAGCTTACAGAGGGAGCTCATCCCTGCTCTCCCCGGATTTGAACCTGTGACCTGGAGGTCTTCAGTCCTGTCGGCACAAGAGTTTAACCCAGGGGCTCTAGATGCAGATGAAGGGACAGGATTGTTAAGACATCAGACTTAGCCTTGCTTTTCCTAACTTCAAGGCACTTGAGCCTATATGGGCTGAACTCAGGGCTGAACCAAAAGTGTTTTTTCCCCCATCAAAGTCATTGGGGCATTTCAGAGAAAAGGGGAAATCAAAAGTGAGTCAACACTTCTTTAAATAGTCATTCCCCGTTCAACAACAACGACAGCCTTTAATGGCATAGTCTAACAAGATCACAGCACAGAGATGTATAACAAAAGGAAGTCACAGAAAAAAAGTAAAAAAAAATGCTTAAAAATGACTAATCTCAAGAATAAAACTTGCAACAATCTCGCAAAAGGTCATTTTTTTTAAAAAAGACCAGCCCTCTCTGACCCAGGGAACCAAAATACTTATCAGTCAGAACAGAGATAAGTGTAGCGTTGAAGGAGAAAGACATACAATATTTTCATAGAAGTGGGTTCAGTTTTTTTTTGGTCATGTCAGGAGCGACTTGAGAAACTGCAAGTCGCTTCTGGTGTGAGAGAATTGGCCGTCTGCGAGGACGTTGCCCAGGGGACGCCCGAATGATTTGATGTTTTTAGTGCTTTCACTGTTTTTAAGGATTTTTTTTTTTGCCTTATTAGCACTCAGTTTTCAAAGTGGCTGATTCTGACTAGCAATCTTCAAAGCAGTTTTGTACAAGTGAAGAAACAGACTAAAAAAATCTGTAGTAATTTTTCCAGTTCGAAACTGAATGCATTAATTCAAAGGAGCATTAGAAAGAATAGAATAGCTCCATTCATTGTAACACTGAATTGGGAACTAAAGGGGTCTGTAATAGCTTCATTAAGTTTGTGTCATCCATTGATTGATATATGCAGTTATATCACCCTTGAGAACTTTTTACACTACATACCCATGGGACTTGATTCTACATGCTGCACCTAATAAAATCCTGGGATTTGTAATTCTGTGAATTCTCTAGCTGAGAATACTAAATATCTTCCCTAAATTGCCAATCCAAGGTTTTTTATAGGATGCAGCTGTGACAGATAAAAGTAGAATCATCGTACGACAATTGTGCAGTCTGAGCAAAGAATAATAGAATCCTAGATTTGGAAGAGACCTCATGGGCCATCCAGTCCAACCTCCTGCTAAGAAGCAGGAAAATCACATTCAAAGCACCCCTGAGAGAAGGTCATCCATCCTCTGCTTAAAAGCCTCCAAAGAAGGGGCTTTCACCACACTCTGGGGTAGAGCATTTCACTGCTGAACAACTCTCACAGGTGGAATATCCTTTCCTGTAGTTTGAAGCCATTGTTCCGCATCCTAGTCTTCAGGGCAGCAGAAAACAAGCTTGCCCCCTGCTCCTTATGACTTCACCTCACATATTTATACATGGCCATGATGTCTCCTCTCAGCTTTCTCTTCTTCAGGCTAAACATGCCCAGCTCTTTAAGCTGCTCCTCATAGGGCTTGTTCCCCAGTCCCTTGATCATTTTAGTCACCCTCTGGACACATTCCAGCTTGTCAACATGGACCTTCAATTGTTGTGCCCAGAATTGGACCTGCTATTCCAGGTGTGGTCTGACCAAGGCAGAATAGAGGGGTAGCATGACTTCCCTGGATCTACACACTATACTCCTATTCATGCAGGCCAAAATCCCATTGGTTTTGTTTTTGTTTTTTGCCACTGCATGACATTGTTGGCTCATGTTTAACTTGTCCACGAGGACTCCAAGATATTTTTCACACATACTGCTCTCGAGCCAGGCATCCCCCATTCTATATCTTTGCATTTAATTTTTTCTGCCTAAGTGGAGTAACTTGCATTGGTCACTGTTGAACTTCATTTTGTTGCTTTTGGCCAATCATCTCTCTAATGTGTTAAGATTGTTTTGAATTCTGCTCTTGTCTTCTAGGTTATTGGCTATTCCTCCCAATTTGGTGTTGAAAGGATCTCTGGATTTCCCTTGTAGCAATTATTTTCAAATTGTTTGGGGAACTTTATCAAACTGAGCATTTCACCCAAAGACCTAATGAAGCTGCTTTCAGTTCCTAAAGCACAGAGGAACCCACATTTCTCTATATGTCCTCGATCATACAAATAAAGAACCCACTTTAACTTCTCTTGTAATGTTGTATTTGGCTTTCACTCCTAGTTTCAAAACTTGGTTTTCACTGAATTTCTCAGTTCATCATCATGATGTTCCTCAATCAGAATACAGGCATACTTCAGCTAACAAAGTAGGTGTGTTTTGGGGCATTTTTTTAACCATAAAATTTGGTACCATAGGCACAAATAACATGAAAAATAGGTATGAGTTTCTTTACCACAATAAACATCAGATCAATATTGTAAAATTCAAAAACATTTAATCTATGATGCCTCAATTAATGTAATTGTATTGTTATCTATTTATATTTTGAAATTTACCAGCAGTAGATGCATTTCCCATCCCTTGGCTTATACTCGAGTGAATCCGTTTTCCCAGTTTTTTTGTGATAAATTTAGGGACCTTGGCTTATATTAAGGTCAGCTTATGCTCGAGAATATACAGTAGTATCAGTGGTTAGAGTGGAATCCTATTATTTTCCCATTCAGACTTTACTGTTTTGTTCACTGAAGACATGCTTCTGCAACATGATACCAAAAGCCCATGTTTCCCCAGGCAGCAATCATCTTTCCAATACCAATTCTATTTTTTTAAAGAAGAGCCTTCCAGCTTCCAGGTAAGTGTAAGTGTGCCTAAAAAGACTGCAAAAAAGAAGCTTCTTTGGCAGAGGCTTTGCTATCGGAGGTATGCTTGTATCGGAAATGACTGGTTTCCTTGGAGGAATTTCTTCCAAATGCAGCCAAAGGGCCATCTTGGGAGCAAGCCTGGGCAATCCTCTGTTTGAACAAAGAATGTACTTACTAGAGTTACTCAGCAGATAAATCATCAAGCAAGAGGTCTTCTCATGTTATAACAAAATTTGAAGAACAGTGGTTTCTTGAAGTGTACCAATGAAGGCAAGACATTGGAAATAATCTACATGGGCACTTTAACCCAACTCAGGATAGATTCAGCTCCATGGTATCCACTAGGCACGTGCAATCCATGGTTCTAAGTGGTTCTAAAGTACTTACAAAACTAAAGTTCTGGTTGTGAAAACTAGGGGGCGCTGGTGCTTTGCTTCTACAGTGTTGCTAAAGTTCTGGTGGTGAAAATTTCAGAACTCTAACAAAACTTTCAAAATGTTATTATTATTATTTCATTATTGGTGATTTTTATGACAGAACCTATTAAAAACTGCCATTTATAATGACTTTTTGAAAGTTGTGTTAGAGTTCTGAAAGTTTCACCACCAGAAATTTAGCAACACGGTAGAAGCAAAGCACGAGCGCCTTCTAGTTTTCACCACCAGAACTTTAGTTTTGTAAGTACTTTGGAACCATTTAGAACCATGGATTGCACATGCCTAGTATCCACATGGCAGACAAGGCCTTCTCACCTCCAATGTGGGGCAAGGTTGCTTAACATGGTTTCCCCCATGGTTGGCAAAGTTGGGAATGCTCTGGAGCACCTCCATACTTTGGGATAGTGTGAAGAGTTGGGCTGTTATTTACTTGGAATCAGCCCTGCTCTTCACACAACCATCCCACTTTCCTTGAGCTCTATGGGATTGCCACCTCCTCCTTTCCCCCTTCCCTCTCCAAGTTGCATGGACGTCTTTGCTAACATCAGCAATGGTACACAGGAATGGCCAGGAGCCACAATGACAGCAACAGGACGACAAAGAAAAAGGTGGTTTCCCTGAGATTTTTTTGTTTGTTTGTGTAGCTGTGTTCGTAGCCTCCTTACCTGTGGGGGCAAGTTTGACTTCAGATGACCCTAAGAATTTCGTAGGATTTTCTTAGACAAGAAATACTGAGAAATGGATTTGCAATTTCTAACCCTAAAATATTACCTACAACACCTGTCAATTGTTGGTGATCTCTCATCCAAGTACTAACCAGAGCTGACCCTGCTTAACTTCCAAAATGAGATGGGACCTGGTGCCGTTGGCTGATTTAGACCCACAAATACTAGGACAGGCTACCTTTAAACACAAAGGACTCTGCTTTGTTCTCTTCGTGTTCCAGAGATTCTGTAAGTTGCAAAAAGGTCAGTTTCTCATGAACTTGCTCTTGCTTATCCGTTAACTCATCGGCTTCATTAATATCCAGTCCCCAGATACTTTGGCTATTTTTAGCTGAGTACCAGGCACCAATACTACAACAGCTTCAGATGCCTGCTTTCAGGGACCTTTCTGCTGTTCATCAGCAGACACTTAACAGCTACCAGATTTACATGTCCTGTTCTTTTGCACTGTTCCTAATGAACTGCCTGTTTTATTGGCTATTTAAATATTTAGGCTTGACTGTCTTGCTAATTCCTACTTAACTGTCTCTGTGATCTGTCTTGTAAACACTATCAGACTGATTAATAAATATTACAGTATCCACAAAGAGCAACTGACTTTTTGCATATCAAGTAATTTTCATATCAGCCTTAATTTAAAGGCCTCTCTCTTGGTCCTCTAACAGATACGAATTATTCTTCCTGCTGCTGTCTCAAAGTCTGTGGAGGAATATTGGAAGGGTCATTGCCCACAGAGAGGCCTTTATGGCTGTGAATGTGAGTGCTTAAGGAAAGATTAGCTTTCAGCTGCTCCATTCCCACCATCACATACAATCTTCTGCAGAGGCCTTCACCTACCCCTGCTGTTATGATCAATCAAACTGGTTGACGGGGACAGCTGCGATCAACATGGGAGTCTCTTGAGCCTAAACACCATTGTATCAAAGATGGATTAAGGATGCAGAGAAAATGAATGTAATGAAGAGGTTTACAAGTGCAGTTTCACTGCAGAATTCAGACTCAGAAATGTACCTAGCCAAAGACTGGTATGCCTTAAAATTATGCTCCCTATTAAAGAAATTTCAGACTATGATACAAAAATTATATGGTGGTGCAGCAGGTTAAACCACTGAGATGCTGACCTTGCTGACCAAAAGGTTGGTAGTTTGAATCCAGAGAGCAGGGTGAGCTCCTGCTGTTAGCCCCAGTTCCTGCTAACCTAGCAGTTTAAAAACATGCAAATGTGAGAAGATCAATAGGCATCACTTGAGTGGGAAGGTAATGATGCTCCATGCAGTCATGCTGGCCACATGACCTTGGAGGTGTCTATAGACAACACTGGTTCTTTGTCTTAGAAATGGAGATGAGCACCATCCTCCAGAGTTGGACACGACTAGACTTAATGTCAAGGGGAAACCTTTACCTTTACTATAACAGACTCACTGACATCCATGAGATTTACTTTAGTAATGAGTAGTAGGCAGATTAAGATTTCCAGAGGAGAGACCAATACCGTTTAAGCAATCCCTGGCACTATTCAACATCTTGTACCATCAAGAACATCTTTCAAATGTTTAAGTGTAGTCTTTATTTTTTGTAATTTGAATCCATGGGTTTAGATCACTGGAGCAACAGAATGTAAGCATCACAACCTCTGAGGATGCCTGCTATATATATAGGTGAAATGTCAGGAGAGAATGCTTCTAGAACATGGCCACATAGCCCGAAAAACCTACAACAACCCAGTGATTCCAGCTATGAAAGCCTTTGACAATACATTAAAATCCCTTACATTACTAATCCAAAATGGCCCACCTTCCATTGCTTTCCTTATGACCAGGCAACTTACCTGGGAATTTACAAGGCGAATAGTGGTTTTCTCTCCTACGTCAAAATGAAATCCTCTGACAGGGGCCCCATTAAACCGCAACACAGCATCATGACTATCTAAAAAGAGGAAACATACATTCAAGGTATCTGACAGACCCAAGACACAAACATCTATTTTGATCTTTGTAGCTGTTGTTGGGGTATTTGCTTTACTATAACCAAACTTTCCACTGTGAATGTGAGAAAACACAGCCACCTTCCACTCAGTGTACATGCATCTGTTCCTGCAAAATCATACTATTTGAGAAATCCCAATTGCAGCAGAGAGCAAAATGTCATGGCAGTTGTGGGTCTTGTTTTGAGAGAGAAGTGAATCCATTCTAGGTTTCAGTTTGCACTTTAGAAGAGGAAACCAAGGTGTGGAAATCTATGGGACAGGACAGGGTTCAACAGATTCAACAGCTCCTTTAAGGTTTAGATTAAAATCTGGAGCAAATACATCAATCCAATGACAAGGAAACCAGTTGACATTCTAGAAAGAGAATAGACATATACATGAAAAGCACTGCTTATAAGAGAAAAAGTGGGAAATGCTTTTCATAAACTGCAGTCTGGTGGCATTTATGGAACAAAAAAGTGGAACACAACACTAACTACACTAAATGACATAATGTAGTTTCAGCATATATTTCATTATATAGCAGTGTAGATGGGGCCTCAGCTCAGACATTACTGAATAGTGACTGTGGATCCTGAAAATCTGGGAAGAGTGATTCAATCTGTCAGGCAAAACTACAGTACAATGCAATGGATTTTTGTGATGTTATTATACTGTTTTAGTATTGGGTTGCTGTGGGTTTTAGTATTCTTTCACCTGTTTGCTGATATTGAGATCCTTGCTGTAATTAACACTTCACAGGCAAATATTTGCATTTAATAATTTCTATTACATTTGAGAGGGTTGAAAGTGCTGCACCAATGTAATTAAATCATTCATTTCATTAAACATACTATTCCCGGGCCGCCCTTATTGAAAGGATTTCAGGACAGTATGCAGTGGTGTTGATAAGCTTATAAATACAGCATAATAGTATTTTCTCAGTAACCTTTACAACTACTCCACGGGTAGAAAACTACAGTGGGTACAAAGCCTGAAATTACACCTGCTGATTTCATGGCTGAGATGGGATTTCAACCAATCTTGTGAAGCTTTTACATAACTTCTACTTCAGGGAAGCTGCAATTGCACAAAATTTTACTTAAACTCAAATGTATCTTGACATGGTAGAATTAATGCGTCATTGTTAGTAAAGTCTGAACCTACTGTCAATCATAAATCAACCATAATTATTAAATGTAAGTCACAACTTGATTTAAAATAGGGACCATTACATCATAAAGACTAGACTGGATAATGCTGTCAAATATAATGTAGATTTTAAAGGGCCAGGACTGATTACATCACATTTATTCTAAATTCCCATAACCAATGCTTACATTTGGATGTCACAACAGATTATGTAGGAACAAGACTGGCTCCCTCATGTTCTCTCTGTTGTCCAGAGAAATTACATGAAAGAAAATGGGGAGACCCTCTATACCAGTGGCTCTCAACCTGTGGGCCGTGGCCTAGCAGTGGGCCACGAAAATGAAAATCAGGTCCACAAACCTCCTTCCTCTTCATTTATTTTATTAATTTATTTCCACTCCTTTCTGCAGAGCTGACCAGCCCTGCCCCTTTTGGTACTAATGTTGGAGAGTGGTCCCTGGTCAAAGTGGGCTCTGGTCAAGTGGGCTCTGGTCTAAAAAAGGTTGGGAACTACTGCTCTATACATTTTAAACAAATGGCAGTTTCAACTTTCACTACCATTTGTTGGAATAAAGGTGGCATAGCTTAATGTTGGCTTGTTTCAAAGAATCAAAGTTATAGTTCTTCTGCAGGCCCCAAAACAATCTTCTAGCCACAAAAACCATAGTTAAGAGCAAATAGTAATGTGTGTTTTAATAGATCGATCCTAGTCTAAACATAGGCATTATGAAACACATGTGCAAACAATCACTGAACTTGAGATGTTAGAAGAGTAAATACAATAGAGAATTATCCTTTCTAACCACCCCCCCCCCCAAACTGAATGCCCCGAGTGTGATAGATTTTAATCATCATCATCATCATCATCATTTCTATTGCAATAGAGTAACACAGACCTATAACCATCCCTAACTGGGATGACTTCATGGATCCTGCTGAAGACACGACAGCACATCGGCCCAGTTTTATGCTGATATTTCCCTTTGGTACATATGGCTCCCATTCTGATGTATTGAAGGGACTATCTGCAGCAGTTATCATCCTGAAGTCCAATCGTTTCCGAAGCTGGCATAACAGTTCCTCGGGTCTGACTTTATGAGCATACTTTGGTCCCACATACTTCACCCTATACTTATTGATTTTCAAGTAGTTTTCCCTTGCTTTCTGCAACCTGGGATGGAGGTTTTGGGATGAACTGTCTTTGTTCCATACTTTGAGGGCATTGTAGAAATCCTTGGTTTTCATCACTAAATTGCTTCTTATCACTTTTGTAGAGAGGTTAATTTTAATGTTTGATGATTTGGTAGACAAAGGGACTTTGTCGGTGCCATTGGCAGCTACTCCTTGGACTATTTCTTCTTTTGAGGTGCCCCATCTCCACATCTTCCACGGCATATGGTCCGATCGCCCGTCTAACCTCAGAGAAAAAATGACACCTCTCCGTGTTTCCTTCCATAAACAAATAGTAAAAACCAAAATACATGCCAGGAGAATGTATACACATTTTCGAAATGAGCTGACATGAACCATAATGTATGATGATGCATCAGGTTGGAGAGATCAACTTCAGTCTGGAAGTTGGACCTGAAAAGAAACATACATAAATAAGAATTTTTTTTTTGAAAGGTTGGGGACATCAACAGCATGGTTGGTGCCTTTTAAATGTAGCCACAACTATTATTACATTTAAGGAAAAACAGGTTCAAACTGAAGGAGTACAGATGTAGGGGCCAGGACTCACCAGCACTCCAAATGCACAAGCTTTGGAGTGCCCACAAAATCCCAGGCAGTAATGCAAGGAGGCCACAAGTTAGATTCTTACTACAAATGTTTTAATTGTGGGCCTTGTAATAAGGTGACAGTAGTGTCCACTGCACAATATTTTTGTTGCAATTTGAAATGGGGTTGCACGGCTTTTTATCACTTTCACAGAAAATTGAAAACACATTCTCATTGGTGTTCAAAGATCAATCATTTCAATGGTCTAACCTATCTATACAGATGTTCATTGGCTCTAACAGACAGGAAGGCACATGTGGGATCTTAACAATGGCCCAACTATAGTCTATTGTTCTCTGACCATGAACACTCCATTGGAAAGTATCTATAGGTTGGTACTTCAGGCAGTTGGAAAATTAAGGGAGCATTGGGGCGTACTATCTTTCTAACTCTGGTCCTTGGCAGCTCTTTCTCTACACATCAGCAGTTTTTACAAACAAAGGCCCTCTGCAAAAGCAGGCACATAAGATTTTCAATCATTGGAAGCATCAATGAAAATCCCTTTTTAAAACTACATCTCCCTCAGAACAAGGTCTGAACTCAAAACATATCACACCCACTTGTCCAGAACAGTGATCACTCTACTTTTGAGATGGTTGCTATGCTATCAATGGTTATGAAAGATTATATATATATATATATATATATATATATATATATATGCAGTTGTTGCTTATCATTAATATCATTAATAATTATCATTAATATCTTCTAACCAACTCCCCTTATAAATAACCTTTAAAGAACCCGTTTTTACTCTGACAACTCCAAACTGATCGCTTGGAGGTCTGATTACTAGATCCATGGAGGGATCTTGATATAAATGAGAACTGTGGGGCCAATCTGGAGAAGAATATATTTGATACCAAGCTATGGGACATTGAGAATAGATCTTCTGGTTAGGAGAAAGCCAGAGAAAGATCTTGACGATTGACAGTGATGGAGTTTTGCCAAAAGTGGTGGTTGAACAGAAGAAATTTGAAAAGACAAAATTGATTGGTCTGGCCTCTGAAAGAGAGAACAGTATCTAGGGATAGTACCATCATGCTTTAATTCAAGAGGCTGTTGAAAGTTCTCCCCTTCGTGTCAACTGCCATTGTTGTGCCCTCTGAGGAAGAAAAGAGCAGCCAGCATTTGCTGAGGATGCATCTATACTGTAGAATTACTTCAGTATTACATCACTTTAACTCCTATGTTTCCATAGCACTGAGCCATGGCAGTGAAAGTGATGTCAAGCTGCAATGCAGAAGGTTGGACTTCTGCAATGCATTTTACATTGGGCTAATTCTGTACCAAGTTCGAAAATTCCAATTATTTCAAAACCCAGCAGCCAGACTAGATACAGGAACATCTAGGAGTAAGCATATTGCACCCATATTAAAGTTGCCAATTAGTTTATGTATAAACTAATTGCCACTGGTTGCCAATTAATTTCTATATAAAGTACAGGGTGAGGCAGCATAACTTCCTTTTTTAAAATGCGCACCATTCAGTCGGTTGAAGACGTAGCGGAGCGCTAATGGTCTCGTTCGAGAGGCGGAAGTATAAAGTTTTGTCCTGACACAGTTCAGTCGCCACCATGTGTTGGAACAGTGAGGAGTGTGCTTTTGCCGTTGAGGCCTACTTTTCAAGTGGATTTGGAGTGGCTGGCCTGCTCTCCAAATTTAGCCCCTTGTGATTTTTTTCTATGGGTTTTTTTTTGAAATCCCATGTTTATGTGAACTGTCCAAGGACCCTACAAGATTTGAAGATCAACATCCAGGAAGAAATTGCCAACATAATGCCTGCTATGCTGGCAAGAGTCATGACAAACGCCAGAAATTGGTTTACTCAGTGTATGGAGAATGGGGGGACGTCACTTACCTAATTTGATCTTCAAAACTACATAAAACAAAACTTTAGGTGTGCGCCTACATTATTAAAAAAAAACCTTTCTGATTCATAAAATGGGTTTTATTAAGTTTTGAAAAAAGGAAGTTATGCTGCCTCACCCTGTACAAAGTTTTGGTTTTGACTGGTTTGGATCCAGTTTGCCTTCTCCGGTACAACCAACTGCTTAGAATACCGAGGTCCTCTAGAGAACTACTCCTGCCAGCCTGCCAGCCTGCCAGAACTCTATTAGTGACTGTTACCCAGAGGACGTTTTCATTGGCCACCCCAAGACTGTGGAATGACCTACTGGAAGAGTTCTGACGGCTGTCGGAATTTAGAACACAACTAAAAACCTCTCTCTTCCAGCAGGCCTAAATTCATGACTTGTGTTTACTGTATTTTAATCTTTATTCTCTGTATTTTAATGGATGTATTTCATAGAAATACTTTTTAATATGTGTATGGTACATTTTATAATGATGTGCTTTGTTTTCCGCCAAGACATTTTAATTAATTGTACAATAACAGATCTATGAGCAAACAGAAAACAATCCTTACACAATCAATATAAATACGTCATATATAGTACTGATATTTCTTATCATTTATCATAAAAATGGTTGATAGTCAATCTTTCCAAACTTTTTTTGAAAATACAGTAGAGTTCCGGTTATCCGAGCTCCGCTCATCCGACACTCTGTATTCTCTGATGCCATCATGTGGCTGATTGGAAACATTGAACCCTTTGATATGTGCTCATGAGAGCAAGTAGCTTTCTTTCCCCGTGTGCAAAAACTGGGAGGAGAAAGAAGAGGAAAGTGCCTCTCCAAAGGGAAGGGAGGGAAAATCAAAAGAGAAAGAGGGATGGGAAGGGAAAAAAGAAGTGAGGGAGGAGGGAAAAGGGAAATGCAATGGCTCTCCTTCTCTCTCTCTCTGTACTCTTGGCACACGCCTGCTTTGGAAACTTCTCTCCAACCCAGGCTTGTTTCCAAACTTGGCTGGAAGGTAGTGGGGCGGAGAAGCCTTGTTGCTTTACCTGGTCGGGTGGGAGGAGGACCCTCCCCTTCTTCCTGCACACACACACACACAAACACACACATCCTCTCTCCCCCCCCCCTTCTCCCTTCTCTTTTCTCCCCCACACTCTCTCTTCTTCTTCCTTCTACTCCTCCTATCTCTTTTACCACTGACAGCCTTGCAGCAACTTGCACTTCTGGCCTTCTTCTCCTCCCCCTCCTCTTCCTCTTCTAACCCAGGCAAGGATAAATAGAGACATAGAATCCTAGAAATGCAAGAGGCTATCCAGTCCAGCCCCGTTCTGCTAGGCTGGAAGGCACAAGCCATGGCTTCCCAGCACAGAGCCACCCAGCTCCAGATGAGATTCTGGAGACAGTTGACCAATATCAGTGTTTAGCAAACTTTGGTTTTCCAGTGTTGCCATTCCTCTATGCTCAATATGGGATTCTAGAGATGGTTAATCTACAGTATTATCAGTGTGCTCCCAACTCTGGTCTTCCAGGTGTTTTGGATTTCAAACATGATGTTTTGATGCTTAATTTGTAAAACTGTAACATAATTTGACGTTTAATAGGCTTTTCCTTAATCCCTCCTTATTATCCAACATTTTTGCTTATCCGACGGTCTGCCAGCCTATTTATGTTGCATAAGTGAGACTCTGCTGTAATTCAAAAACAGCTGACAGTTATCTTGAAATCTTTGTATTGATTTTTTTAAGGCAGGATACTTTATCCAATTCTGCCAAACTGAGAAGCTTTGTCAGTCATTCCATCACAGATGAAATTGCACTTTCCTTCCAATGATGAGCAAATACTATTCGAGCAGCCTTAACAACATCCTTTTTGTCAATTGTGTCAAACACTAATCCCAGTAGAAACGCTTCTGGTTAAAACAGAATGTTTTGTTTCAAAATAATTTCTAATTTTTTTAAACTGCTATCCAGTAGGCATAGGCTTTCGAACAAGTCTGCCAAGCATGAAAAAGGGTTCCTTCTTTCCTTTTCCACTTCCAGCATTTTTAATCAGTGCCCTTATTAATTTTTGCTAATTTGGTAGAAGTTATGTACCATCTATGAAACATTTTATAGAAGTTTTCTTTCCACTGACTTGTTCTGGTGAATTTAAGACCTTTCTCTCACATCTTCTTCCTTGTAGCTAAACTTATATTATATCCCACATCTCTTGCCCAACTCAACATGCAAACTTTTATTTGCTCTTCTCCTGTTTCATAGGTGCTTGCGAATTTATTCCTCTCAGGCCATAAAATCTGTTCTAAATCTGTTTGTTCCTTTTCAGATTCATGTTCTTGTAAGTCGTCTGTAATGATGTGTTTTTAACTGTGTTGTGCCTTGCCTCGAGGCACAAGGAGAGGCAGGTAAGAAATAAAACAACAACAATTCTGCAGTGTAGATACATGTTGTAGGTTTTTCGGGCTGTATGGCCATATTCCAGAAGCATTCTCTCCTGACGTTTCACCTGCATCTATGACAGTCATCCTCAGAGGTTGTGACAACCTACAACAACCCAACATTACTAACAATGATTCTATAAAGATGTTAAATTTTTTTAAAAAAAAAAAACTATATTTGAACAAGTGCTGACCCATCACCGAACTACAAATCCTACAATTCCATAGCATTGAGCCATGATAAAGTGGGGTCAAACTGAATTAATTCTATACTGTAGACCAGGGGTCCACACACTTTTTAAGCAGAGGGCCAGGTCACAGTCCCCCAAACTGTTGGATTATAATTTGAAAAAAAATGAATGAATTCCTATGCACTCTGCACATTTCTTATTTGTAGTGCTAAAACACTTTAAAACAATACAATAATTAAAATGAAGATCTATTTTAACAAATATAAACTTATTAGTATTTCAATGGGAAGTGTGGGCCTGTTTTTGGCTGATGAGATA